TATATATATATATATATATTTATATATATATAAATATATAGAAATGAGAAAGGTAAAAAAGGTAAAAAAGAGAAAATACACTAAAAAATGAGAAAGGTGAGATTTAAACCAGAAAACATAAAAGAAATAATAAAGAGAGTGTGGAATATAAATTAATTAATTAATTACTTGAACTAAATATAAAACATTTTTTATTTTTTAATATGTCAGCAAATGGAATTTAATAGGTTTATGAAAAAAAAAATGACACATCAACAAACAAAACAAGAAGAAAAATAAAATAAAGAACATGGAGTGCATGTCCGAAAAGGGCGTAGAAGGTAAAATAAAAGGGGATAAGAAAAGTCCAAGACGCTGGGCCCATCAGTCTTCAAAAGGAAAAAGACATAATAAAGAGCGTGATGAAATATGTGGTCAGGATTCGATCTAGTTTACCTCCAAGAACAACAATAACATTTATCCTTTATTTAAGTCATACTTTGCTCAATTTTCATAGAATTAAACAAATGAATAATGAAATTTCATCTTCTCAATCTCTCGAACATTCATGGATTTCTCATAATGAAAAAATAAGCAAAAAAAAAAAAAAAATTAATTCTCGTTTAATCACTTTTGTTCATAGAGGTTCAAGAACACTTTAAATTCTTAATTTTGAATCAGTAGATTTTTCATACAAAATGGTGATGATTAAGATACTAATTAAGTGTAACATGAATAAAAAAGAAAATAATTAAATAAATAACAAGTATTAAAAGTCTACCTAGATAATAAAAAGTAACTTGAAAATAATAGAGAGAAATTTGTGCAAAATTTTAGCTTATTTTTGTGAGTGATTTTTGGTGTCACTTGTGAATGAAAATTGGTTTATTTATAAGCTCTAGAAATGATAGTTTAGGAATTAAGAAAAGGAGGTGAGAAAAGTGTGAGTGTATTTTAGAAACTTATTTAATTAAATAGTGAATAATAATGCAATAAATTTATGAAATAATAATGTAATAAATGAAATATATTTTGGACATTCTAGAAATTTGATTTTTGTTTTATGATGTATGAAAATGATTAATAAATTTCAAGTTAATATAATAATAATAAATCAAATCATTATGAATTATTTTTCAAAATACATAATGAAATAATACAATTTTAGTCAATTTCTTTCAATAAGTAAAATGTTTACTTTTCTTTGACTTTTTATTATGATGTATGATATGATTAATGAATATTTCTAATAGAATAACATGACGATTTAAATAATTTTTCAACAATGGTCAACCATGCATGAATTTTAGTCAAATTTCACAACACAACACATGAAATGTTGACTTTTTGGTTGGCTTTTGATTTTTGAATGAAATAAACTATAATGCATGTGTGTATGATTATGGTGACTTTATTTGATAATAAAAATGCACATGTTTAATATCATATCTCAAATTTGTCCGTCTTATTTTCTACAATCAAAGGATTTTCAAAATTGGGTTTTATAAATTTCTTTGATTTATTTACACTAATATTTTGTGTTTTATAAATATTCATTTTTAATTTATTTTGTCTATTTAAAAATATATAATAATTTATTTATTTCTTAAATAGCAAATACTTGTTCGCTTTCATATACTTTCAATTAATTATTTATTTTGAATAAGTAATATAGCGTATAGTTGGTAAGGAGTAAAGTTTGCAAGTATAAGGTCTCATTGGTTCTTCTTTAAATATTTTTTATGATGCATTCAGACATTATTTTGATTTTATTTTCTCCATTTTTGTCCTTTAACCTAATTTTCCAACTCTATAAATAGCACTCTTTTTCACATTTCACAATTCATTCACACAAAACTTTTTTTTGGTTTTTTTTCTTTAGCCGATAATTACATCTTCTATGTGAGACCTCCCTTTGGAATTTATTTTACGCTTTTACCGTATGATGATTGGTTTGATGGTAATTTATTTTTTAAATTATATTTTCATCTAACAATTTTTTCAGAGGCCAAATCAATTTTCACACACATGTTTTTTCTGACTATAGTTTTACTGTACTTAGTACACTTTCATTCAAAAGAGGCCATTATTTTACTTTAGATTTTCTACTGCTTGTATATAATTTGCAAATTTACAAATTTCTTTATCTTCTTGCTGTTTATTATACAATCGATAGACTAATATTTTTCAACCCGTCCAGAGAACTAAATCACCCAAAGTAAACAAGCTTTTTTTTCCAATTTTTAACCTTAGATTTTGACCAAAAATAATCATCAAGTTTCACAAATTCATCACTACTGTCACTAAACCAAATCAACACGAAAAACTCATAATCTCTTTTCCAAACATATCAACAACCTATAAATAATTTTCGGTGGATTACAACAAATGGAAACAGAATCTGAAGCAATAAGGAAGAAGAGATCGCGGATTTTCCGTATCATTGCTCACAGCTCTGACGAACCCCGAAACTCTCTCTGATTTGACACTGCACTCCTTCCACTAACTCCTCCATACGACCCTTCATCGATTCCGCCACACGAATCAGCTTCCAACACCGACCATGAAATCACCATGAACAAACCGTTGTTATCACACAGATCCACGACACCACTATTCTCGGCTCCGGTCCGCACCAAAGGACGTCGGCTGGTACTCTCTGCTGTCGTGTTTAGCATCTCTCCATGCGATACTTCGCAGGTTTGCCTCCTTTACAACTTTTATTTGTTTTGATCTGGTGTGAACTATAGCTATTGGAAAGGGTTTGAGCTTTGATTAAAGAAAAATGAAGAAGAAGCATAGATATGGAAGAGAGAGCATAAAGAGAGAACGGTAGATATCTAACCTTCTTTTTTAATTTGGTTCTCTTTGGTAAAACTGATGATCGTTTTTGGTAGAAAATATTGGTCTTTGCATGGTTTTACTTTATTATTTGGGTAAAAAAAATGAAATCTCACATGGGCACTCATTTGTTTTTTATGTGGATAGTGTTGGAAAGTATTTCATATTCAGAAGTTGTTGATTAGAATCAGAAACTTATGATATTTTCAGAAGCAGTGTTGAAACAATAAAGCTTCTGAGGTTGTTAGTCAGAAGTTATTATTAGTCAGAAAAAGAAGCTTCTGAGCTTACGCCCAGAAGTATGCTTAGCTTCTAGGTTCTGTTCTGGAGTTGAGTTTGTTAATGTAGATGTTAAGTTTAATATTTCCTAGTTTGTACCTTTTAAATTAGTCATTAAGTTTACTTTTATTATGGCCTACGTAGCAATTTACTTTGTTTATAAATAGACTAGTAGTAGTTATCATTTGTAACAGTAATAGTAACAACAATCATTGTTCAATCATTCTTCCTTACAACTATGTAGCCGTCATTCTCTTACTCTCATAAATATATTTCTTTTGTTCACCATTGATTCTTGTGCACTAACAATTAATATCTAGAGTTCCAGTTCGGATCCACAGAGAAACACGAGTGAAACATGAGCGTTTGTGAGATTGATTTTAGTTCTTGAATTCATGTTGAACCTTGAACAAAATCTGAACATAATCATATTTTTCTGTTTTTGTAGGGTCGGGAAACATTGTCCTTGTGAGATCTGAGTGAGTTGTACAAAGTTAAGGATGAACAAAAACGTTAGTCTGAGTATCAAACTTCCTGTTTTTAATTGCAAGAATTGGAACAAATGGATGATTCAGATGCACATATTGTTTGGTGCTCAAAATGTTCTTAATCTTGTTACTGAAGGCTATATCCCAGTTGCAGAAAACACAACAGAAGAGCTGAGAAATGCACAGAGAGACAAGAGGAAGAAAGATCAGAAGGCGCTATTCTACATCCATCAGTGTGTGGATGTGAATATGTTTAAGAAGATTACAGATTGATGATGTTAAAGGGCGCGTGGGATATACTGGTCACATGTTACGATTGTAAAGCATCAGTGAAGAAGGTGAAGCTTTGGTCCATACAAAAGGAATATGAGAATCTTAACATGAAGGACAACGAGAAGGTTTTTGAGTACATCTCTAGAGTGATTATGATCATTAATGAGATTAAAGCTTATGGATAAATCCTTTATGAACAAGTAATCATTGAGAAGATATTGAGGTCTATTACTCCTCAATTTTACATTGTTGTAGCAATTGAACATTATAAAGATCTCGACACCATGAGAATAGAATAGTTGTAAAGCAGTCTAAAGGCGCAAGAGTTGCGTCTGACTGAAAGAACTTCTGAGAGGGAAGTTGAGCAGGATCTGAAAGCTTCTTTTGTCAAGAAGGACCAGAAGCCAAAAATACATGGTAGTTCTTAAAAGTCAGAATTCTTATATTCTGATGAAAAGAAACATCAGAAGGGGAAGGAGAAGTATGAAAAGAGAATGGTTCATTGTTACTGTTGTAATAGGTTTGTCCACTTTGCTAAAGATTGTTGGTCAAACAAAGAAGAAGCAAAAATATCCAGAGGAGATTCTGATGATGAACTTGTGCTATTAATAGCTTATGAATCTGATGGGGAACTAGTGCGATTATCATTTTCCGATTCTGAAGGGGAAGAAGATGACTCTGAATATTCTGACTCTAAAGGAGTGTTTAAATATGAGTCAGAATCAGAAGATGACGCTGAAGTTTCTGAAGACGAGTCAGAGTTAGAAGATGACTCCGAAGTTGAAGAAAAGTCAGAATTCAAAGGTGATTCTGAGTCTGAAGAAGAATCAAAATATGAGTCAGAATATGAAAGAGATTCTGCTTCTGAAGATGAATCAGAACCTAAAGGTTCTGAAGATGAGTCAGAGTCAGAGGATGAAGAATCATCTGAAGACTCTAAATATGAGTCTTATGGTGAATTTGATTCTGATCTAGAATCTGGTGGTGATCATGTTTCTAGAAGGGAAACTCTGAAGACATAGGTTCTGGAGGACAAGCTTCTGAAGATGATCATGTTTTTGGTGGTAATCATGATTATGAAGGTGGACCTTCTTAAGGAGGAGCTTCTGAAGGTATTCCAGCCTCTGACGGTGATCATGATTCTGAAAGTGAAACTTCTGAAGGCAAAGTTTCTGAAGGCGGTCCAAATTTTGAAGGTAGTATTTCTGAAGATAGTGGTTCTTGATGAGTTCCAAAAGTTAACAAAGGTATAGCTTCTGCTGGTAGTCAATCTTCTGAAGAAAGTCCAGAAGGAGATTCTGAACAAGTCTAGAGGCTACAAAAAATCAGAAAAATACCAAGGAGATTTGCAGAGTTCGACAAGCTGCAAGATACTGAAGGGACTTTGAGGTATGAAGTGTTGTTCCCTTATGATGTTAAATTTGACTCAGAGTTGATATATTATTTAAACTCTGATTTGTATGAAGACAGAGTTGACAGAAGAAATACTTCTGAATATTTTTGTTTGTATTTGGAAAGTCCAATTTCTTGATGCTCCAAGAAGAAACTGGTATTTGTGTTGTCAATCTGTGAAGCTCTCAAGAAGAAAGTGTGGCTCAAGGCCATGAAAGAAGAGATTGATGCTATTGAAAGAAACAAGATTTGGGAGTTGACTGAGCTTCCGAAGGAGAAGAAAAAAACCAATGTCAGATGGGTCTTCAAGGTGAAATCTGCATTTTTGAATGGAGTTGCACACTATAGCAATCAGAAGCAACTTGCAGATGTTATGACTAATGATGTCAAGACTGAACACTTTATCCGTTTGAGGGATGGAATTGGTGTTGTAGTTTTTTGGTTAGCTGAATATGAATTAAGGGATGGTGTTGGAAAGTATCTCATATTCAGAAGCTGTTGATTAGAATTAGAAGCTTCTGATGTTGTCAGAAGCAGTGCTGAAACTGTAAAGCTTATGAGACTGCTAGTCAGAAGTTATTATTAGTCAGAAGAAGAAGCTTTTGAGCTTACGCCCAGAAGTATGCTTAGCTTCTGGGTTCTGGAGCTGATTTTTTTAATGTAGCTGTTAAGTTTAGTATTTCCTAGTTTGTACCTTTTAACTTAGTCATTAAATTACTTTTATTAGGACCTAAGTGACAATTTACTTTGTGAATAAATAGACTAGTAGTAGCTGTCATTTGTAACCGTAACAGTAACAACAATCATTGTTCAATCATTATTCCTTACAACTTTATAGCCGTTATTCTCTTGCTCTTGTAAATATATTCCTTTTGTTCATCATTGATTCTTGTGCACTAATAGATAGCTCACTAGACATATTGCTAGTTTAACACATTTTGTATTTCAATAATCAGTTTCTTTCTTTTTTCTTTGTATAAATCTTTTAATTTCATTTTATGTGTTTATAGGATAATCATTCAACGTTAAATAAGTAAGTTTGCACTATTTTTCTTCTTCTTTTGTTCATTATTTTAAACAAGTGAGTTTTTTTTAGCATGACAAATATTATTAAATTAATAATTTATTTTAAGTAGATTAACATCCTTTTAAAAGGATTAGTTAGAATTAATAAGATAAATATATTCAAAATTTTCATATAAAAAAATACATAATCCAAACACTTATTTTTAAATTAAATTAATTCAATATTTCTTTTTACAAATGATAGGATTTCACGTCGTCGAGTAATTAATAGGCCGACTCAACATCTTACCAATTAATTATTCAAATCAAACATTAAAATTCCAACAAATCAAATCACTTTTTTCGCCCAATGCGATTTAATTTCAAAGAAGATCAACTCTTCTTTAATCCATCGAATCAAACTTAAAATAGCTAACCAATTTAAATTACATTTTAACTAACTTAACAAAACTTTCAAGATATTTTCAAAAAAGGGATTGTTGAATTACTTTCAAACTTAACTTCAAACTGCGTCTATGATCACTCATTTTTCAAACCCAGACAAGGTTCAAGGATAATTCGAAAGCACTTACACAATCCTATTAAAAAAATTAAACATTTTTCTTATTTACATGGAAATAATAATATTTAAGTAGAAAATTCCTGATTTACCATAAAACCTAAATGTAAAGCCCCTTGAGAACAGGGGAAATGAATGGTGCCTAACACCTTCCCTTCGTCTAACCAACTCGTGAATCTAGAATCTCTAAACCAAATTAGAATTATCCGTTCTTTCCTATCCTTAAGATAAAAAGTAGTGGTGGCAACTCGCATATTTTTTGCCAGTTATGAGAGTCAAAAATGAAAAACTTTGACAAATGGACATGTATCAAATGAACTTAGAAACAACCCGGATAAAATTGGGGTATGACAGCTGCCCATATTTAATTACTTTTAACTCGAGAAGTAAATGACGATAGTCTTCATATAATCACGGTGAAAGATAATTAGATACGAAAGACCTAAATTTTTTCCTTTAATGTAATGAGGTAATAAGTTATGCTATAAATATATTGATTCTCTTGATGGGGATATGAAAATGAAAATAAAATTTTGTGGGGATCAATGAGGTGATTGCAAAGGAATTATGATGGGAAGACTCGCCAGGGAAAAGAAATGGTACGACAAAGGTTAATATAAAATGACACAACTAACGTCAATCAATGGGTTATTGAAAGTCAAAGACAAAACACCCTCAACCAATGTGTTGATTCATATCAAAAGACGACAAAAACCAACTAAATGTACTAATGAAGGTAAAAGACAAACAACATCAACTAATGTACTGATGAATCATTAGCTAATGTACTGATGAAGAGAAATGAAAGATGATCAACATC